GTCTCGAGTCCACCATTTTCGCCTGCTTCCGCAGGAACGTCGAGTGGCGGTTGTAGGGTGCCCGCCGTGGTCGGCACCGCTGCCTCGGCCGCCCCCAGGGGAGTCCCCCGCGCGCCTGGGCAGTGCGCTCCTGGCGCGGCGGCGGCAGGGTGCCTCGGGGCTGCCCCAGTGCCCCCTGCCGCGCCATCTCCTTGGGTGGGAGGGGTGGGGGCCTGGCCTTCGACTGTCTCCAGCAGGGGCAGGATGGGGCCCCCTCGGGCTTCCAGGGCTGCCGCGAGGCGATCCCTGTCGCCCTCAGGGAGCTGAGTAAAGCCAACCATCGCCGTAGCTGGTGGTAGTGGGCCATCGACGCAGGCCATGTGGAACCACTTCCTGCCCGCGTGCGCCTGGGACCCCGCGGGTGGTGTCATGACGCCCGCAACGCGCCGCTCGCCCGCCTCGAAGCCCCCCATGCAGCGCGTGCAGTGAGCCTTCTTGCCACGGGCCGCCTGGGCGCTGACGCACCAACGGGTGATGCGCCCGCCCGTCATGCGGCGCCGCCTCTGTGCTGGCTGGCCCTCGCTGTCACGCATGTGGACGTCGATGTTGCCATCCACGGGGATGTCGGCTGCGTTCGCGCCTGTCGACGCGGGAGCGGCAGCGGAGGCGCACGGGGCGGCCCCAGCACCTCCGCTGCCTCCCGCAGCTGCCAGCACTCCGCCTTCGCCTCAAGCCGCAGCGGCGTTGCTCCCAGCCACTCGGGCCCCTGCACCTGCGTCCGCAGCGCCGCCAGCGGCCGCCGCCATCCCAGGACGTCCCTTCAGGGCAAGGAAGAGTGTTCGTAACAGTGAGGGCGCGAGAAAAGGAAGGGTGATTGTCACCCGCGGTTTGAGGGCAGCAGTACTACTATTACGACTACTACTACTACTACTACCACCACCACCACTACTACTACTACTATTATTACTACTACTACTACTACTACTACGACTTGTACTACTACCACTACTACTACTACGACTACGACTACTACTACTACTACTACTGCTACTACTACTACTACTACTACTACTACTACGACTACGACTACGACTACGACTGCGAGTGCGGCGACAACCGCTCGCATTAGCTTTATCATTATCACCACCATTAATATTATTACTATTATTACTACTACGACTACTACTACCATTGCTTCCCCACCACAACAACAACTACTACCCCTACTACTCGTGTCCCTACTCCTCTTATTCCCACTACTACTCATACGATTACTATTGTCATTAGTGCTGCTACTACTACTGTTATCAGTTCTAGAACTACTACTACTCTTGCTGCTACAACCACTACTGCTACTATGTTTAGTCAGATTACTACTGCGACAACTACAACGGTATTTCTCTTTTTGCTACTGTGCATCGCATTATGAGTATTGCTTCTGCAGCTGGTACCTCTATTGCTTTTCCCCCAACACTGCGACTACCATTGCTTTTACTACTACTATCAGTATCCGTTCTACTGCTACAAGTACGATTGCCAGTCCTACTGCCACTACTACGCTTACTGCGTCTACCGCTACTACTGTTACGATTACGAGTGCCCCTGCTCTTCGTAAAGTTACTACTAGCCTCATTAAGACTACTACTACTACTACTACTGCTACTACTACCCTACTTCTACCCTATTGCTACGAGTATATCTACCGCTTGTACTTGTACGACCACTACTTGTACTATTACTACTACTGCGACGACTACTACTACTACTACTACTATTACTACTACTACTACTACTACTGCTACTACTACTACTACTATGACTACGACTACGACTGCGACTACTACTACTACGACTGCTACCACGATGACTACTACTACGACTACGACAACCAGCACCACTACTATCATTACTACGGAGGTTACTTGTGTTGCTTGTATTACTACCACTACGACTACGAATGCTGCTTCTACTACTCCTACTGCGACAACTACTTCTACTACTACTTCTTGTTCTTACAAACGCTATTACTACTACTATGACGGCTTCTACCACGACTACCACTGTTACGACTACAGCGGCTATCATCATTATTATCAGGAATTTATTAATACCTCGACTACCAGTATTTCTACTATCGCGATGGCTTCTACGACTGCCACTATTACTACTACTACTACTACTACTACTACTACTACTACTACTACGACTACTACTACGACTACTACGACTACTACTATTACGGCTACTATCACGACTACTACTACTACTACTACTACTACAACTACTACTACTACAACTACTACTACTACTGCTACTACTACTACTACTACCACTACTACTACTACTACTACTACTACTACTACCACTACTACTACGACTACTACTAGTACTATTACTCGTACTACTACTAGTACTACTACTAGAATTACTACTACTACTACTACTACTACTAGTAGATTTATATTACTATTTCTATTATTACTATTGTCACTACTGTTACTACAGCCGCTACTACTACTACTACCACTACTACTACTACTACTACTACTACTACTACTACTACTACTACTACTACTACTACTACTACTACTACTACTACTACTACTACTACTACTACTACTACTACTACTACTACTACTACTACTACTACTACTACTACTACTACTACTACTACTACTACGACTACTACGACCTACTACAACAACTACTACGACTCGTACTCCGGCGACGACTACTACTACTAGTACTATACTACTACTACGTACTACTACTACTACCTACTACTACTACTACTACTACTACTACCTACTACTACTACTACTACTACTACTACTACTACGACTACGATACTACTACTACTACTACTACTACTACTACTACTACTACTACTGCTACTACTACTACTACTACTACTACTACTACTACTACTACTACTACTACTACTACTACTACTACTACTACTACTACTACTACTACTACTACTACTACTACTACTACTACTACTACTACTACTACTACTACTACTACTACTACTACTACTACTACTACTACTACTACTACTACTACTACTACTACTACTACTACTACTACTACTACTACTACTACTACTACTACTACTACTACTACTACTACTACTACTACTACTACTACTACTACTACTACTACTACTACTACTACTACTACTACTACTACTACTACTACTACTACTACTACTACTACTACTACTACTACTACTACTACTACTACTACTACTACTACTACGACTACTACTCCTACAATTACTACTACCGCTTCTGCTACTTCTACACGTACTACCACTACGACAACGACGACGACGACGACGACTCCCATCACTACAACCATTCGTGTCTACGGCTTGTTATCATTCAATATTGTGTATCACGATCTACGACTACCATTATCATTACCTCTGTTCTGATATATATATATATATATATATTGTTCGAAATGTACGCTCATCCTGTTGGCCAGCCTGTCTCGCCGCGGCCGTCTGGGCCCATGTCATTCTCAAGTGCATCAATTCAGGGCGGCCCATGTCCTTTGCTTTTGCCCGCGGGCTCGGCGCGGGCGCCTACTACCTGCTGCCTGACCTGGGCTGGGTCTCGTCGCAGGCGAGCGCGTGCTTGGTGGCTGCGCAGTTCGCAGGCTCGCTGCGGTTCGCCTTCGCGCTGACGTTCTGGCTGGGCGTCTTCGTCGGCCACGGCATCCATGGCTGCCGCCGCGGGTGCCGCAGGAGCGGGCGGGATCCCATTGTTGAAGAGCGGGCAGCGCGTTCTCGCCCAGTGGCGCGCCAACGAGCCGTGGCAAGCCCGAGTTCTGGTAGCTCCAGTGACGACTGGGGAGTACGAGGAGTACGCTGGCGAGGAGGCTCCCGTGGACGCCGTGGAGAGAATCCTGATCTGGTACGCCATCACCCCCGTCGGGGACATCTACCCGCACTGCCTGCTTCCTCCTGCGGTGGCGGCAATGGCCCCTTGCGACGCGACGGGCCAGCCCAACCGCGCCCTCGGCCTGGGCGCTCGGCTGCCGCGCGGGAGCCCGCAGATCTACGGGCGCCAGTGGCAGCTCGACGTGAGGCACTACTTGGACGCCCTGTAGTTCGTGACGGGCGAGGATTACGGCGAGAAGATACGCGATCAGTGTCGGAGACAGGAGGGCCGCGAACAGCCTTTGGGTTCTCCGATTCCGAGTGAGTGGGTGGAGGTCGTGGACAGCCTTCCCGATCCCGCCCCCGACAAGTGGGTTCAGGTGGGTCCGTCTGACGGCGCTGGCCGTGCTGCTCTTCGCGACCTGGGCGTGGACTACGCGGTGGTGTGCTCGGGCCTCGCCATGTGCAAGAAGGGCGAGCAGACCTCATCGTGAAGACCTCCAGTGGCGGTGACACGGGTCTTGATGCACGTGTTCTGGCTGTGGTGGAGGATGCGGATGGAGGTCGGCACCTTCCTTTTCGTGACGCTACCCGTCAGATGACAGTGACAGAGTGGGCCAAATGGCCGCTGCAAGGGCCGAGAACGACATTGTGGTGCTCGAAGTTCATCAGCGAGCAAGACATCGCACCGCGGTCTCGCCATGCTAAGTGGCGTTCGGAGGTGAACCTCGCATCAGCGGACCCCACAGTGGCGGAACATGAATTCTTCGTGAGGGTTGTACAGCTTGCCGTGCAGTGCGACCAGTTGAACATATCCGAGCTTGCTGCGTTCGAAGAGGTGCTTCGGCGCGCTCAATTTGCTGAGTGCAAGCTGAAGGATCGAATCTTGGGAGCTCGACCTGGCGCAGCCTTGGGAGGGGATGTTGATGAGGATGGATCTGTTTACCTTGGTACGTCCGAGACCCGAGGAATGCTCATGATCGCCCCGCCATTGACTTCGCACATTTCGGAGGAGCTGCACCGCGAAGCAACGATCTTGAAAGAGCGACGGAAACTTCGGGAGGAACGACAGTCTAATCGTGCACGGGGCGGCCCTGCAGGTGGCGGCGGCCGCGGAGGACTCGCCGCCGAGGCGCGGGGCAGGATCGACCTCTTGACCGCCGAGAACAAGAAGCTGAAGGAGCAGACCACTGCTGCCCAGAGCGCCGCCCAGGGATCAAAAGGGGCGGGCCGTTGCCAAGGGGCTGGAGGCGGACAATGACGACTGGGGGTGCGCCCCTCTTTGGCTCCGCCCGCGGGATCGCGGGCGAGCCGCCGAGGGTTGCCGGCTCCTCGTGAGCTGCTCACTGTACCTGTACATTTGCTTTCCACCCAGGCCTCTTCATGGTCCGCTTCTTCGACGCGACATCGGCGGTCGAGGGGGCGTCAGCGCTTTTTCTGCAACCCCTGGGCGCAGGAGGCGACCGCTGCGCTCAACTGGCTCTACGGCCAAAGCGGTGCTGGCAGCTTTGGCGCCCTCTCGCAGGCCCATTTTGTTGGGCTTGATCATCTTCAATCTCGAATTCATGGGCTTGGGCCTCCTACTTGCACTCCTGCGGCGGCCCTTCCGGAGCTGTGCAGCATCTCTCCAGGCTACGACATCGCGCCTGTGAAGTCAGCGATGCATGCCGAAGGTCTGGCGTCGCCCCCGACGGATCGGTCCAAGAGCAACGCCCAGGACTCCCTGACTGGATGGCCCCATGAGTTGTGGCATCACTGGCCAAATCACCTCTTGCGCGGTCCTGATGAACCTCGTGAGCTCATGCGACCTTTCTTTGATCATCAGCTTCGTCGTGAGCGTATTTTGTATGGGAAGTTTCTGGGCAGCCTTTGGGATGCTGACATGATTCGCTTCGGCAACCGCAAGAAGCACACCCTTGGCTTGTTTTAGTCCCCAAGGATGGTAATCGCTCACGAATGATTTTGGACGCACGCTTGATCAATCAAGAGTTCCGCGAGCCTGACGCCGTCAACCTACCTAGCGCTGGACGCTGGCGGAGTCTTCGCGTTCACCCAGCCCAGAAGTTACACCTCGCCCAGGTGGGCATCGAGGCGGCCTTTATCGTATCCAGTGTCCACCAGGTTTGGAGGAGATGATGATCCCCCCTCACATCCGCCGCCAGGACTTGTTGGCGGCGAGGCCCGACATCAAGCTCTCGGGACAAGAGGGCAAGGTCTTGGCGCCCCGCCTGCTGGTGCTTCCGATGGGGTGGAACTGGAGCCCGTTCTTCTGTCAGTCGCTTGTGGGGCCCCACGTGCTGCAGGCTGGTTTTGACATGAACAGGCAGGTCGCCGATGGCAAGGTCATCCCCGACGTGCCCCTCGACGCGGCCGCAGCGACCTACGTGGGCGGGGCCGCCGCGTTCGGGAGCCGCCGCGCCGCTGTCATGACCGGGGCCAAGCGCGTCGAGGAGGCACTTTTGAACGACCACCTGCTTTGCAAGGGGGTCGAGGCCCTTCAAGCCTCTCAGAAATTCACTGGTCTCACCTTCGACCAGGAGACGGCCACCATCAGCCTCAGCCCAGCACGCCTGTGGAGACTGCGTCTGGGTTTGCGCGAGTTGGCCGATCGCGGCTCCTGCAGCGGAGATGATTTGCAAGTCTTGGGGCATTTCACCTGGGCGGCTCTCTTGAGGCGGGGCTTGCTGTCCATTTTCACTATGAGCTACAAGTTCGCCGATTGGGCGGGCCCTCGGCGTCGTCGGCTCTGGAAGGGCGCGATCACTGAGCTGCGCGCGGCCTCGGCGCTCATCGCCTTCGCCTTCTATGACGCGAAGCGGGTCGTCGATCCCAGGGTCCTCGTCCCCGACGCATCCACGGGCGAGGGCGCTGAGCACGCGTCGGGCTCCGGCGGCAACGGCGTCGCGGAGAAGCTCTGGGACACCGAGAACTTCTGGGCCGCTATAGCCCGCGGCGAGCGCTGGAGGTACGCCAGCGAGGGCGCCGCGCAGGCCCGCGCCCTCGCGCTTGGCCCGGGGGCCGAGGCGCGACTGGCGCAGCAGCGGCAGCGGGGGCCCCGCAGGACAGGCTCGGTGGCAGGCGCCGACTTCCTGCAGGTGGACCCCGACTTCCTGACTAGCGACGGCTGGAAGGACCTGTTCTTTGGCCGTTGGCGACACGGAGAGAACATCCTCCGCCTCGAAGGGCGTGCCCTTGCGCTTGCTGCACGGCATCGTCTGAGAGAATGCGCCGCTTGCGGCTCGCGAGTTCTGATCTTGTGTGATAACATGAGCGTGACCTTGGGACTGGAGAAGGGTCGATCGTCTTCTCACCTTATCAATCAGACCGTCCGTGAAATCACCGCTCTCTCCATCTTTTTCAACGCGGCCGTCTCGGTTCGCTGGATCGCTTCAGAGCATAGTGCTGCGGACAATCTGTCCCGCGCTATCGGCCGACCCCCTCGAGACCCGCAGCTCGACCCCCTCCGCGCTCGCACGGGCGGCGACGCCGAGCGGCAGCAGCTAGCTCATCGAGCGGGCCCGGGGGCGGGGGCTTGAGGAGGCCGCGTTTGCTCGCGCCGCTGGGCACGGAGGCATCGGCCTCGGCCCTGAGCACGGCGACGCCGACCAGGTGCCTGAGGGCGACTGGGCCGTTGCCCACTCGGGACCTGCCGCGGCCTGTGGCAGCTACGACGCCTCCAGCTCCTCGGACAGCTCCGCAGATGAGAGGGACGGGGGGCCATCTGAAGGCAGTGCGGCTCCAGGCGAGGAGAGCGGAGGAGCGCCAGAAGCGGCGCGGGCCCGTGCCAAGGGGGCGCCTTGAATGGGCTCACTTGCTTGCAGAGGTACAAGGTGCAGGAGCACGCGCAGCGGGTATTCGACAGCGAGTTCGACGCGCTGGCGAAGTGGGGCGGGCGGCGCGACCTTCTCCGCTTGGCGATGCCCGCGCTGGACACGCTCGTGGCGCAGTACCTGGACTACCTGTGCCGGAGCGGGTGCCCGAGCGCCAAGGGCAGCCGCGTGCTGGCAGCCCTCCGCCACCGGCGGCCTGCCTTGGGGAAGGCTGCTTCAGGGGGCCTCCTGGCCTCGAGAGCTGCGCTGGCGGGATTTCGCCGCCACAGCCACTCGGTCTCGAGGCTACCGCTGGCGAAGCCGTGAATGCTGGGAATGCTCGGCGTCAGCCTGCTCGGGGGGGGGCACCGAGTTCGCCGTCGCCCTGCCGGTGGCGTGGGACGGGCTCCTCAGACTGCCAGGGGACTTGACCTCAATGACCAAGGACTGGGTAGTGGGGCCTGGGAGCGCGCCGACTGCACGGCGGGCTCTGTTGCTTTGCCCCGAGGGCGAACAGCGGCGCAGCAAGACCCGCGGGCGCGACGAGGGGGCGCTGCTGCTCGACCAGGTGTGGAGCCGCGAGGGCGGCCAGGCGCTCAGGCAGCTGCTGGCCAGGCGGCGCCCGGGACAGCCGCTGTGGAGCTTCAGCCGCGCCTTCGCGCGGCGTCTGCGCCTGGCCGCGCCCTGCCAGATGGGGCGCGGCGCGGCCAGCCACGCGCGCGCCGTCGACCGCATGCCGCAGTCGGTGCTTCAGGAGCGGATGCGCCGCGGCTCCGCTCAGAGCACCCTGAGATACAAGAAGCACGTGAGGTACCTCAAGGAGCTCGAGCAGGTGCCCTTGGCGATTCAGCAGTGGACCACCCGTATCGAGAGGCGCCTCGGGCCGCTGCTGCTGGGCCAGGAGCGCCCCCCCGCGCCGCCGTTCAAGGTTCCGACAGGGGTGGGGAGCTCGGCAGGAGTAGGCTGCAAGTGACTAGGACTTTTCTGAAGGGGGCTCTGAAGTTCGGCTCAGCTTGGAGGCGCCAGCGGTTTCTGGAGGCAGGGTTCGGAACGGGGTCCGTCGCCAGAGCTGTAGATCCTCGGGATTTGTTTGGTGCCATTTGGGTGAAAGGGGGCGTTTTCGATCTTCCGATCGTTCGTCAGAGGCTGCTTGGTTGGATTTCCGCGCGGTGCATTCGAGGGGCCTGTTTTATCCTGCCCCGCCGTAATCTGCACCCCCACTTTACCAACCTGGCCCGTTTAGTCTTGTGTGCCTCCCAGGTCGGGTGCCCTGTAATTCTGATCGACCCCAGTCCTGAGCACCCCCGAGAGGCCTGTAGCGTCGTGAAACCCCTTGTTGAGTTCCCGAATGCCCAAAGTACCATCGTGTCTCCGTGCCGTCTACAGCCTGCCCCCCCCCCCCCCCATCAGGATTGCTTCATACTTGCCTTTAACTGTAGCTGGCGCCCGATAGATGCATTGCCGTGCTCTCATGTACGGGACAGCCGAAATTGCGTGTTGCCTCTGTGTAGTCATCCTCTCCCGTCTCCTCACGTGCGTCTTGGCTCACTCTGTCAGAAGCCGTGGCAGGTTGGATTCGTAACAGTGCCGAGCAGGTGGCTGACTCACGCCTTCTGAGACTCATTAGCTCCTATCTTTAGTTGTTTCTAGCAAGGGACGGCCAGTGCTCCCTTATGGAAGTTTCGGGATTGGCTGAGCTAGGCTCCGTGGAAACAGGGTTGCCTGCCCGACCTCGTGAGAAAATGCGGACGACTCTGGAGTAGCATTGTGTGCATTGTGCCCTGGCCACGTTGTAGGGCCCTGACCTTGTTCGATGTGTGCGCCCATCCTGTTGGTCAGCCTGTCTCGCCGTGGCCGTCTGGGCCCATGTCATTCTCAAGTGCACCCGCCCACAGACCACCCAAGCCCTCGTGAGAAAATGCGGACGACTCTGGAGTGGCATTGTGTGCATTGTGCCCTGGCCACGTTGTAGGGCCCTGGCCTATATATATATATATATATATATATATATATACATATATACATATATATATATATATATATATATATATATATATATATATATATATATATTATATATATATATATATATATATAATAAAATATATGTATATATTATATATATATATATATATATATATATATATACATAACGGCGCACCGGGTCCGGGGGCCCGGGGCCGGGACCTCGACCACAAATGTGCGCCCCGGGGGGCCCGGAGGCTCGTCGGGGCTTGCCGGAGGCCTCCCCGGTCAGACAAGACGGCCCCAGGAGCGCCCAAGACGGCCCAAGAAACTTCCAAGAGGCCTCCAAGAGGGCTCCGAGATGCTGAAGATGGCCTCCAGACGTCCAAGGACGCCCCCAAGAGGCCCCAAGAAGCCTCCAACATGCGTCCCAAGAGGGCCCCTAGACGCAAAAATTGGCCCATTCCCTTCGTAAAACGTACATTTTCAACAAAGTTGTTTTTTGGGCTTTCCGACGTTACAGGACGGCCCAAGAGGCGCCCAAGACCGCCCCAAGACGGCCCAAGAAGCTTCCCAGAGGGCCCCAGGACAGCCCAAGAGGGCCCCAAGACGGCCCAAGAGGCGCCCAAGATGGCCCAAGAGGGCCCCAAGACGGGCCCAAGAGGGGGCCCAGAGGGGGACCACGAACCGCAAGCTCGAGCCTTCCGCCCCAAGAGGCCGCCAGGAGGCCCCCAGGAGGCCCCTCAAGAGGCCCCAGGAGACCCCAGACGTCCAAGGACGCCCCCAAGACGCCCCAAGAAGCCTCCAACATGCGTCCCAAGAGGGCCCCTAGACGCAAAAGTTGGCCCATTCCCTTCGTAAAACGTACATTTTCAACAAAGTCGCCTTTTGGGCTTTCCGACGTTACAGGACGGCCCAAGAGGCGCCCAAGACCGCCCCAAGACGGCCCAAGAAGCTTCCAAGAGGGCCCCAGGACAGCCCAAGAGGGCCCCAAGACGGCCCAAGAGGCGCCCAAGATGGCCCAAGAGGGCCCCAAGACGGGCCCAAGAGGGGGCCCAGAGGGGGACCACGAACCGCAAGCTCGAGCCTTCCGCCCCAAGAGGCCGCCAGGAGGCCCCCAGGAGGCCCCTCAAGAGGCCCCAGGAGACCCCAGACGTCCAAGGACGCCCCCAAGAGGCCCCAAGAAGCCTCCAACATGCGTCCCAAGAGGGCCCCTAGACGCAAAAGTTGGCCCATTCCTTCGTAAAACGTACATTTTCAACAAAGTTGTCTTTTGGGCTTTCCGACGTTACAGGACGGCCCAAGAGGCGCCCAAGACCGCCCCAAGACGGCCCAAGAAGCTTCCAAGAGGGCCCCAGGACAGCCCAAGAGGGCCCCAAGACGGCCCAAGAGGCGCCCAAGATGGCCCAAGAGGGCCCCAAGACGGGCCCAAGAGGGGGCCCAGAGGGGGACCACGAACCGCAAGCTCGAGCCTTCCGCCCCAAGAGGCCGCCAGGAGGCCCCCAGGAGGCCCCTCAAGAGGCCCCAGGAGACCCCAGACGTCCAAGGACGCCCCCAAGAGGCCCCAAGAAGCCTCCAACATGCGTCCCAAGAGGGCCCCTAGACGCAAAATTGGCCCATTCCCTTCGTAAAACGTACATTTTTCAACAAAGTCGCCTTTTGGGCTTTCCGACGTTACAGGACGGCCCAAGAGGCGCCCAAGACCGCCCCAAGACGGCCCAAGAAGCTTCCAAGAGGGCCCCAGGACAGCCCAAGAGGGCCCCAAGACGGCCCAAGAGGCGCCCAAGATGGCCCAAGAGGGCCCCAAGACGGGCCCAAGAGGGGGCCCAGAGGGGGACCACGAACCGCAAGCTCGAGCCTTCCGCCCCAAGAGGCCGCCAGGAGGCCCCCAGGAGGCCCCTCAAGAGGCCCCAGGAGACCCCAGACGTCCAAGGACGCCCCCAAGAGGCCCCAAGAAGCCTCCAACATGCGGCCCAAGAGGGCCCCTAGACGCAAAAGTTGGCCCATTCCTTTCGTAAAACGTACATTTTCAACAAAGTTGTCTTTTGGGCTTTCCGACGTTACAGGACGGCCCAAGAGGCGCCCAAGACCGCCCCAAGACGGCCCAAGAAGCTTCCAAGAGGGCCCCAGGACAGCCCAAGAGGGCCCCAAGACGGCCCAAGAGGCGCCCAAGATGGCCCAAGAGGGCCCCAAGACGGGCCCAAGAGGGGGCCCAGAGGGGGACCACGAACCGCAAGCTCGAGCCTTCCGCCCCAAGAGGCCGCCAGGAGGCCCCCAGGAGGCCCCTCAAGAGGCCCCAGGAGACCCCAGACGTCCAAGGACGCCCCCACGACGCTTCGCGTCACCAATTTCTTCTCACAACGATTCCTGGGTCTGTGACTCGACAGAACCTAAGCGCGCGCGAAGCGCGCGCGTGGTTCTAGTGCTACAGGCGGATTCAGAACGATATATTATCATACATACATTACATACATAATACATAGCATATATATATATATATATATTATAGATATATATATTACCTACTGCTACTATATATCACTACTACTACTACTACTACTACTACTACGACGACTATACTACTACTGCTACGACTACTACTTACTACTATTACTATACCTACTGCTACGACTACTATAGTATTACTACGATCGCTACTTACCACTACTACTACTACTACTACTACTACTACTACTACTACTACTCATTACTACTACTCATTACTACTACTCATTACTACTACTACTACTACTACTACTACTACTACTACTACTACTACTACTACGACTACGACTACTACTACTACTACTACCACGACTACTACGACTACTACTTACTACTCTTACTACTACTACTACTACTACTCCTTCTACTACGACTAGTACTTACTACTACGATACTGCGGCTATGCTGCGACGACGGTTGCTTTACTACTACGGCTACTTTACTAGTGGTACTTATAATCAGTACTGCTACCCTGCCAACGACCGCGAGACGAATTACGAATGACTCATACTACTACTACTGCTACTACTAACTATACTACAACTACTACGACACTCTTACTACTACTACTACTTCTACTACTTCTACTACTACGTACTACTACTACTACTACTACTACTACTACTACTACTACTACTACTACTACTACTACTACTACTACTACTACTACTACTACTACTACTACTACTACTACTACTACTACTACTACTACTACTACTACTACGACAACTACTACTACTACTACTACGACTACTACTACTACTACTACTACTACTACCACTACTACTACTACTACTACTACTACTACTACTACTACTACTACTACTACTACTACCATTACTGCGACTATCGGTGCTAGTAGTACTGAGTGCTTCCACCGGTAAGTCGCGAATGGGCATGCATTATGTTCGACGTTCTTCAGTGCTAAACTCACTATCCAGCGCAGGGCGGGGGCGAGACCCTGGGGTGGGCCACCCTGTAGGACGGTTCTTGGCACTCTTCGCTGGCGACGTACCCAACCCTTGCGCAATGCGGCACATGGGTGGCCTGGGAGACGTTATACGGTGGCGATGACGTGACATGGGCGCATACACTTCTGCGAGCGGCATTCGCGAGGCTCGCAGCCCCCTAAGAATTGCAAGGTCCCGTTCAGATCCGCGTGGTGCCTCACTCCGCTGGACCCGCCAGCAGCCCTCGAAAGCGGCAAGTGTTTCGCATTCCGTAGCCCCCTCCAGGGACGGCGAGGTCCAGCTCAGATCTGCGCGGTGCCTCACCCCGCTGGACCCACCAGAAGCCTTCGAAAGTGGCAAACTGTGCCGCAGATCGCAGACTCCCAGGGACGGCGAGGTCGCGCCCAGATCTGAGCGGTACTTCACCCCGCTGGACCCGCCAGCAGCTTTGGAAAGTGGTGACAGTTTCGCAGATCGCTATGCTGCCCCCCAAGCAGCCCTCGAAAGTGGCAGCTGTGTCGCACATCGCAGCCCCCCAGGCACGGCGAGGTCCCGTTCAGATCTGCGCGGTGCTTCACACAGCTGGACCCACGAACTGCCCTCGGACGTGGCGACAGCCTCGAAGATCGCAGACCTTCAGGGACGGCGAGGTCCCGCTCAGATCTGCGCGGTGCCTCACTCCGCTGGGTCCACCAGCAGCCGTCGACAGTGGCGACAGCCTCGCAGATCGCAGCCCGCCAGGGACGGCGAGGTCCCGCTCAGATTTGCACGGCGTTTCACTCCGCAGGGCCCACCAGCAACCCTCGAAAGTTGCGACAATTTCGCAGAGCTCAGCCCCCCAGGGACGGCGAGGTCCCGCTCAGATTTGCGCGGTGTCTCACTCCGCTGGACCCACCAGAAGCCTTCGAAAGTGGCGACTGCGTCGCAGATCGCAGCCCCCCAGGGAGGGCGAGGTCCGCCCAGATCTGCGCGGCACTTCACCCCGCTGGACCCGCAAGCAGCCCTCGAACGTGGCAACTGTGCCGCATTCCGTAGCCCCCTCCAGGGGCGGCGAGGTCCAGCTCAGATCTGCGCGGTGCCTCACCCCGCTGGGCCCACCAGAAGCCCTCGAATGTGGCGACAATTTCGCAGATCGCTGCCCCCCAGGGATGGCGCGGTCCCGGTCAGATTTGCGCGGTGTCTCACTCCGCTGGACCCACCAGCAACCCTCGACAGTGGCGACAGTGTCGCAGATCGCAGCCCCCCAGCGACGGCGAGGTCCCGCTCAGATTTTTGCGGTGCCTCACTCCGCTGGACCGGCCAGCAGCCCCCGAAAGAGGCAACTACGTCGCAGATCGCAGCCCCTCAGGGACGGCGAGGTCCCGCTCATATCTGCGCGGTGCCTTCTTCGGCTGGACCCACCAGCAGCCCTCGAAAATGGCGACAATGTTGCAGATCGCACCCCTCCAGGGGCGGCGAGGCCCCGCTCAGATCTGCGCGGTACCTCACTCCGCTGGGTCCACCAGCAGCCCTCGAAAGTGGCGACAGCTTCGCACATGGCAGCCCCCTCCAGGGACGACGAGGTCCAGCTCGGATTTGCGCGGTGCCTCACTCTTATGTGGATCCACCAGCAGCCCTCGAACGTGGCAACTGTGCCGCAGATCGCAGCCCCCCAGTGACGGCGAGGTCCCGCTCAGATCTGCGCGGTGCCTCATTCCGCTGGACCCACCAGCAGCCCTCGAAAGTGGCAACTGCGTCGCAGATCGCTGCCCCCCAGGGATGGCGAGGGCCCGCTCAGATCTGCGCGGTGCCTCACTCCGCTGGACCCACCAGAAGCCCTCGAAAGTGGCGACAATTTCGCAGATCTCAGCCCCCCAGGGACGGCGAGATCCCGTTCAGATCTGCGCGGTGCGTCATTCCCCTGGACCCACCAGAAGCCCGCGACAGTGTCGCAGATCGCAGATCGCAGCCCCCCAGCGACGGCGAAGAGAGGGCAGGAGGAGGCGGGAGAAGGAAGAGGAAGACGCGACCGCCGTGCTTCTATTCAAAACGAATACCCAACCAAGGAGGGTTGGGAATACATTTCTCCCTGGGGATTGAAATTGGAATCGTGTAAGACAGGGGCGTTGAGGAGACAGAGAGAAGGATGAGGAAGGAGGGGCAGCGAGGTGGGCGGAGAAACGGAGAAGGAGTTGGAGGAGAAGGAAAGAGGACCCCATATTTTGCGGTCGAAGGGTGAGTCGATAATGACGGTCGAGGGAAGGAAGACAAGGATCACTTGCGGTCGATGAGGGGGGTGGATCATTAGTTATTCGTCGCGGCTCGGTGCAGTGCTAAAGATATCTTTGCGCTGAATCTTCCCCCGCGCATTGGTTGTTTTCGCCTCGGCGCTAACGATAACGGGGGGGGGTCTTAGTGTTTTTTTCGGTTACCCGGCGCGATGAGCGGTACCGCGATGGAGGTTATGCGGAACACCGGCGATGCTGTCATGGCCCCGGTTTCGGCAACCCGCCCGAAGAAGGACATCGTGCACGATATTCTATGCCTCCCAGATGGGGGTCCGAGTAGATGGGGTCGGAGGATCGCGCCGCATCGCTGATGCGTCTCGGAGTGTAGCCTGGTTTCCTTCATGTCGACGTCGCCGGCGCATCGGAAACGTCGCCAGTACATCGCCGACGCGATGCATCGGCGATGCGGCGCGATCCTCCGACCCCATCTATTCGGACCCAGACACAGCGATTGCCCAGGAGAGTTGTGTTTGTCCTCCTTCGTGACTTGGGCGTTTGAGGCCTGGGCGCAAGACTTGGCGGCAGACACAGGCCACGTCGTTGGAGTGATGCGGGCGACGTTCCAATCGAATATGTTTCACGGAGGACGAGGTTGCAAGGCAGACTTGACAGACCGGCTGTCGGCAGGCAGGGAGAACGTTGACAGACCAGTCATTCTTCACCAAAACATTGATCATGACCACGGCTGGCTCGAGAGTAGCGAAGGCCTTGGATTCCTGGAACGAGTTGGGCGACATTTGCAGGTGCAGGTATTATTGCGATCTCGAGTAGAACAACTGTGGTGTTGCAGTCCGTTCTTGATTCAGCGCGTTCCAGTCACTCTTTTATGGAACGCGCTTGGCGCTGCCGAGGGGGGTCGTGTGCTCTTTCCCTCGCCTTCCTCCTCCCCGTCCTCCTTCTTTTTGATTGAAGGCGTCTAGGTGCCAAAAAATCCCAACTGGAGAGTCCCCCAAGTCTGCACTTGCCCGAGCGTGCGTTCCACGCCCGCGGCCGTTCCACTCGAAGGAGCTGGTAGGGTGTCTTCAACATGCGTATGTGGTGGCCAGCGTTCAGAGGCTGCTGTCGGACATCGCGCTCTGCGCATGTTGATTGGATCGGATTGGAATATCATCATCATCATCATCATCATCATCATCATCATCATCATCATCATCATCATCATCATCATCATCATCATCATCAGCATCAGCATCAGCATCAGCATCAGCATCATCATCATCATCATCACCATCACCATCACCATCCCGTCACCATCATCATCACCATCATCAGCATCAGCATCCTTATCTTCATCACCATCAGCATCATCATTACTTACATTATCCTCCTCCTCCTGATTCCCATCAGCATCATCATCATCATCATCATCATCATCATCATCATCATCATCCTCCTCCCCATCATCACCAGCATCATCATCATCATCATCATCATCATCATCATCATCATCATCATCATCATCATTGTGGGTACCACGGGATTTCTGTCTCCTCGCAGGCGACTGTCGTGATCGCAATGGTCTGTGACCGTTTGTGCTCAAGCTTTTGGTGGTGCCATGGTCCCAGGGAGTGGGCACCTGCGACCGTCGGGCTCCTGCGTGAGGCGATACGCGGCGCCGGCGCTGAGGCGGCCAGGCTGCTGCTCGTGCGGGGGACAGCGGCTCCCTGCCTGTCCTGCTCCTTGTGGCCGGGCTGCCCTTCGCCAGAGCCTGCGAAGTGCCCCGAGCCGCCCGGCTGCCTGGACCTCGGCGTCGTGATGGCGGCAGTGCGGGCTGAGGGGAGAGGGGGATGAGGCGGCGCTGGGTCTGACAGCGGCCCTGTGTGCGGCCTGCTGGCTGTTGGGCTGGACGTGTGGACGCTGTCGCCGTGAAGGAGCTGGGGGGCGAGGGCTGCGCGAGCATCATGACTAGTCGTGCGGACCGCATGCCAGGACGGAGGGTGCTCGTCCGCTTCGAGTGGGACACCTACTCCCACGAGCGAGTACTCTTGTTGGCGACCCACTTCAACGACAGGTACGAGAGCTGGGTGATCCTCACCCCCGATGATAATTTGTAGATCGACCGGGTGCGAGATTGGACCTGGATCTACGACCCGACCGAGGGGTGGCCACCAGGGCTGCGGGGTGGAGTCGTGAGCTTCAGGACCCCGCTGACGGCGAACGAGGTGCTGGCGAAGGTGCTCGATGGCCGAGACGGGGCGCTGAGGTACCGGGCCAGGCGTCGGCTGCTGGAGCGCCTTGGCGGGCGGCTGGGCGAGGAGCCGACCACCTTCCTGGACTGGCGCGGGCGCGAGCTGGTCGTCGAGGACAGCGTGGTGGGCCGTGTGCGACGGCGGCTGACCAACACGGGGGTGAGTTCCGAGCTGCGGCTGGCCGAGGCGAGCGGCGACGAGCTCGCCGCGCGGCCCGCGGTGGGAGGCGCGGCGGACGGCGGCGCTGGGGGGGCTGGCGGCGAGGCAGGCGCTCTGGTTCCTGCATCGCCGGCGGCGGCCCCTGACGGCCGCGGCGGGCCCGCGCTCGAGGACGGCGTATACGTGGTGGCGGAGGTGCGGGCCCCCAACGGCATGCAGCTTGGCGACCCCGTCGCCAGTGGGCACGCCGAGAACCTGGGCGGCTGCCAGGCCGTGGTGCTGCTTGACCACGGCGCCCGCGTGCTGTGCGAGAGAGTGGCGACGGACGACGTGGAGGAGTGGCGCCGGGCGGCGCATGAGGCAGCGGGCAGGTACGGGGTTCCGCAGAAAGCCGTGCGTGGCACCGCGGGCCAGGTGGATGACCTGCGGGCAGAGTTCGCCGCGGCCGACGCCGGGATCGACAAGATCGGAGGCACGGCGGCGCCCGCGCCGGAGGCTGAAGTCGAGGGCGGCGCGCGGACCTTGTGCGTCGAGTGGACGTCCGAAGGCGTCCGGTTCAAGACGCGGCGGAAGGCCGTGGAGAAGAGCACGCAGCTCACCACATAGCAGCGTGAGTTCCGTGGCGCGTGCACTTGCCTCCATCTGTGCCGCCGATCTCTCCAGCGCGGGGGGGGCCCGAAGATGTGGTTGCTGTCTTTCTGCAGGGAGCACGGGATCTCGTCGAAGGATCGGTCCTACCACGAGCTGACCACGCTGGTGCAGGCGCCGTGGCTGGCCGGGACCTACGACGGTCTGAACCTGGGATGCGCCGCGGCTCTGGAGTCTGTGGCCGGGCGCTTGGTGACGATCGTGGAGGCGCATGGGAGCGGGCCAGCGCCGGGCCAGGCTTCCTAGGGCAGCGCCTGCTACCTGACGGGGGTCGCGAGCCAGGGGCGAGGCGGAGCGGCATCTGGCGACGACGAGGGGTCGTGCTGCTGGCGCCCGACAGGAGTTCGAGGAGACGGGCGCGGCGCTGGCGCTGGGCGGGCTGCCCGGGGAGAAGGGGGGGGCCAAGGGCGGCCCCGAGGGCGTGGCGGCACAGGCTAAGGCCAAGGCAAGCGCCACCGCCGCCGCCGCCGGAGCGGGCGCGCTTGGCGCGGCAGGATGAGCTCCTGGCACGGGCCTGGGAGGTGGCCGACCCCAGGCGCTGCGGACAAGGCTGGCGGCACAGGGCAGTACTTCCCGGTGCCGCTCGTGGAGCAGCTCGATTTTGACATCGGCGCAGGGCTGCCCAGGCGGGGCAAGCTGCGAGTGAAGCGGCCGACGAATGACGCCATCGAGGGCTTGAATTGGATGCGCGGCGCGCGCTGGCGAGAGGCTGGCCCGTCGAAGCCGCGCCTGGTGACCGCTGAGAAGGTGGCCGGGCTGCGGCGCGACGCGCAGCGTCGGGCGCAGCTGGCCGCGGCTGGCTGGAGACGCCCGAGCAGCGCGGGACCCTCGCAGCGAGCTTTTCCACAGCTGCTGCGGGGTCACGGCCCCTACGGGGCCGAGACCCGAGCTAACCTGGCCTCCTTCGCTCACTACCGGCTCAGCATCCCAGGCGACGTCAGGCTGGCACCGCGCATCGACCAGTTGCTGCCGGATACGGCCCGTAATTTTATGAAGGAGCATGAGAGCTACGTGCTGAGGTCGCCCGGAGAGGCGGCCATGCTCGCCGAGGCGCTGGGGCCGGCGTGGCCCTGTACCGACCCTGCGCTGCGATCCAATCGAAAGGTATATGCGGGGCTGGTGAAGAGGCCCCTGCGGATAGGGCTGGTGCGGCTGAGCGCCAGCAAGAAGTGCGACGCGGGCGTGTTCGTGGTCAAGAAGAAGGACGGCGTGCAGCAGAGGCTGATCTTGGATTGCCGGGCGTCCAATAGGCAGTTCGCGTTTCCCCGGGGCGTCAGCCTCCTCGCGGGCGAGGGGCTGATCCGCGGCGCGCGCCTCGGGGCCTCCAACGTCGAGGATTGTTTCCACGGGCTGAGGTTCCCCAAGGACTCCAAGTTGGACGAGTACTTCGCCTGCCCCGAGGTCTGGCCCTCCGACATGGGCCTCACCTGGTGGGGGGGCGAGCGTCTGCCTTGCGACGTGGCCTTGCACCCGCTGGCGCAGACTTTGCCAATGGGATGGGCATGGGGTCTCTACTGCGCCCAGGAGCTCTCCGGGGCCCAGCTTCTTCAGGACCGAGGGCCTCCCTTGGTGCTTCGAGGAGGCGAGGGCCCTGGCGGGCAGGAGATATGCCGCTGCGTGGGCAACCTGGGCGCGCCGGCGGTCGACGAGGACTGCGCGCGGCAGGGGCTGACGGCGGTGACCGAGAATTTCGGGGGCCAGGGGCTCGCGGTCCACGAGGCGGAGCTTGCCTGCCAGCGCGGCGTTGCGCTCGGCGTGGAGGTGGACGGGCAGTTGGGCCGCGCTCGGCCTACTGCCAAGAGGTTCTGGCGCGCGAGGGGCTCCATCCAGGGGCTGGTGCACCGCGGGGCCTGCTCCGGGCAGGAGCTCGAGGTCCTGGTCGGGCACGTGGCGCTCGTGTCCCTGATTCGGCGGGGGCCGCCGTCCATCCTGCGCGCGACCTACAGGTTCGCGAGGAAGCCGTGCTTCACCACGGCGCCGCTGCGGGACAGCGCGAGGCAGGATCTCCTCGCGCTCAGCGGCGCGATGGTGTTCTTGGAGGCGAAGTGGGACGACGAGTGGCTGTCGGGCGTCTACCGGGCCGACGCGTCGCCGTGGGGGTTCGGCGCGGCCTACTCGCGGTGGCCGAAGGCGACGGTCGCCGACGCTGGGCGGGTGCCCGAACGGGCGCGGTTTCGCCTGGCCGCCGAGGCGGCGAGGAGCCACGCCCTTGCTGCCGCCGGGCTCGAGGAGCAGGAGGACGGGATGGCGCGGGCGAGGGCCGAGCCGGCCGACGCGGAGGTGCCGAGGTGGGAGCGGGGCAAGACGTTCCCTGAGCTGCCAGCCCACCTCCTCCATGGGTCCTCTGGACCACCGTGATGGCCGACAAGTGGAAGCACCGGGCGGGGGTCATCCACCTGGAGGCCCGAGCCGCGCTGAAGGGGGTCGCGCTTGGCCAGCCGCCAGCGCGGGCACGATGCGCGGGCTCCGTTCGTGGGAGACAACCCGGCGCTGACCCTGGCGCTGGGCAGGTCCCGATCCAGGGTCTTCAAGCTGCTGGCCCTCATCAGGCGAGCTGGTTCGCTGGCCTTGGCTCGAGGCCTGCGACTGGTTTTCCGCTGGGTGCCCAGATCTGAGCAGCACCGACAAGGGAAGCCGATTGTTTGATCAAAAGTATGACGAAAAAAATATGGCACTTGGATCGCGTCTTGCGCACCCGCGTCACACGTCGACAAGGTGGTCCGGATTGAGCTGACATTGAGGGTCCGAGGGGACGTCCGAGGTGCAAGATCGGGGGGGGGGGGGGCCGGGCGAGTACCACGACAAAGGCTTAAACAATCCTGAGCGTGAACGAGGCGAGCGAGAAAATGGAGCAGAGTCAAGTGAGAGCAGAGAGCAACGAGAAGAGCGACAAGGGCGAGAGCACGGAGAGCGAGCATAATGAATAACGAGAGCGAGAGACACGAGAGGAGCGAGAGCAAGAAGCAGCAGCAATCTTAACATATCAGCACGAAGCCAGACAGCGAGCACGACCGTCCGTCATCCATGCGGCTCAACCTGGACAGGGACATGCAGGCGCGTCGGGGGAGAACCCTGACCAAGCCCGCGCCGAAGACCCGGTCTCGCGGGACCGGGCGATCGCGGACGCTGGCCGGTGCGTCTGGGAGCCAGGCTCTGGAGAGGAGCCGGAGCTCGAGGTGTGCCCGAACGCTGACGAGGGCAAGGGCGTCGAGCCTACCGGCGAGGCTGGAGGCGCCGGCGCTGGACCCGACCGTCTCGCTGGAGATCGTGGCCAGGCAGGACCCGCCGCCAGCGGGCGCCGCCTTGACCGTCGAAGACGGCGAGAGCGACTCCGCCTCCGAGGAGGTGCCAGATGGGGCGGACCGCCGGAGTGAGCTGCTGGCCCGAAAACGGGCGCGGCGGCGCATTGCTCGGATGGCCGAAGGGACCGTGACGAAGCTCCATGGGCAGAGCTACCCGGAGGCCGCCAGCGTGTCCGAGGCCAGTCGAGTCCGATATCGAGACTGCGCGCGAGAGCTCCCGGCCTTCGCAGACCAGGAGAACGTGGCGCTGCGCGAGGACGACGAGGTGGACGAGTGTCTCGTGTCGTGGATGAACATGCGGTACCGGCTCGGGGACGGCGTGGCGGGGCGAGTACATGGCGGCCGCCCTGATGCACGCCTTCCCGAGCTTCGCGAGAGGAGGAGGCCGGCACCTGCCGCAGGCCGCCCCCGTGGGCCGTTTGGGCCGCCTTTGCGCTGGAGCAGCTGAGGAGCGGGCAGGGGCGGGCCGGCTTCGGGGTCCTGCTGATGGTAGACGCGTACCTGAGGCCGTCCGAGCTGCTGAGTCTCCGACGCGGGTCCCTGGCGCCGCCGGCCCAGGGAGGGCTCCGAGACTGGAGCCTGCACCTTCCCCCAGGAGGAGGCCAAGCGCAGCCAGGTCGGGAGCGCCGACGACACCGTTGCGATGAACTCCGAGCGGATACGGTGGGCCGACCCAGCGCTGGCGCACCTGGCCTCAGGCCCCGCGTCGGAGAGGCTGTTCCCGCGGGGCTACCAGCAGCGTGGCAGGCTGGCGCAGGGCGCAGGGGAGCGTCTGGGGATCGAGGTGGCGCCGTAGCAGGCTCGGCACAGCGGCATGAGCCTCGACCAGGCGTTCCTCATGAGGACCCAGGAGGAGGCGATGAGGAGAGGGAGGTGGTTATCATCTCGCTCGGTCGTGCGCTGCGAGAAGACGGGTCACCTGATCGAGGCGTGGAGAAAGCTGAACCCTGACGTGCAGGCTTACGCCCTCGTCTGCGAGGAGTGCCTGGTCGACGTGTACCTGCGAGGGCCCCCCCTGCCGGCGCGTCCGATGCTGTAGAGGCGACGGCGTGTTTCCTGGACCTCTTCACGGGAGTCGGCGGGGTGGCGCGAGCTGCGCGGCCTTGGAGGTTCGAGACCAGAGAGTGCGACCTCCGCGGGGGCCATGCAGGGGATCTCCTGAGGAAGCGCGTGCAGGCTCAGGTTCTGACCAGCCTGCGCAGGGGGCGGGTCCTGGCCGTCATGATGGCCCCGCCGTGCACCTCCTTTTCGACTGTCCAGAATTCGTCGTGCCCGATTCGAAGCAAGCAATGCCCACGAGGCCTTCCTAGGTAGGCCCCCAGCCGACAGGAAGGCAGAGGTGAGGCTGGGGAACCGTTTTCTCGATTTTTGCAACTCAAGTCGCACGCGCGTGCGTGCGAGAGCGGGTCCCCTTTTGTATCGAGCACCCGCAATCCATCTACATGTGGCACGATGTGACGCTGTGCCGTGCTCTAGAGACTGCGCACTTGAAAATCTGCGGTATCCATCAGTGCCTATTTGGCTCTGTGCACAGGAAGGCCACCAGATTGGCCTTCGGCTGTTGCGATGAGCTAGGCCAGGGGAAACTGGGCTGCCCCGTCGAGAGCCGATGCCAGGGCAAGCACGGGTTTTGTTCGGCGACGGCGCAAGCCTGTAGTTGTAGAGGGGTCGCGGGCGACAGCGGCGTCGGCCGCTTACCTTCCTCGGCTGGCCGGCGCCCTGGCCCGGGCTCTTCTCTCAGCATCTGTTCTTCGAAGGGAATCCAACAATCATTTGTGACGCTGCGCTGAGAACTACCGATTCGGGCCCCTGTCCCGGCACTCGATTCGGGGTGGGCCGTAAGGCCTTTGAGAAACAACAGCTATGCAGCAGTAGCGAAAGCCTCGAGCCCAGGTCCAGCAACAGAGTCGTGCTCCGCTAGCCTCTAGAGGAATACAGCATGATTGTTGGTGCCACGGGATTGCTGTCTCCTCGCAGGCGACTGTCGTGATTGCAATGGTCTGTGATCGTTTGTGCTCAAGCTTCCCGTCCGAGCCCCCCCATTTCACACATAATCGATTATCCTGGCTGTGCGATGGGCCTCAAGGCCTTTTCAAACACCAGCCGTGCAGCAGTAGCGAAAGCCTCGAGCCCAGGTCCAGCAACAGAATCGTGCTCCGCTAGCATCTAGACGAACACAGCATCATCATCATCATCATCGTCATCATCATCATCACCATCATCATCATCATCATCATCATCCTCACCATCACCATCATCATCATCATCATCATCATCATTATCATCATCATCATCATCATCAGCATCAGCATCATCATCATCATCATCATCATCATCATCATCATCAGCACCATCATCCGCAGCATCAGCACCATCATCAATTGTGTTCAAAGTGGCTTGCGTAATTTCGCGATTCCGCCAGTCCCCAGGTGAGGTCCAGGCAGGAACTCCAGTGGCAGCGTTTGGTCTGTGTCCAAGGTTGTGAAGTTCTTTTGGCAGGGTTGCGCGTGGAGTCGGTGCGGGGAGGCTTCGGGGTGCAGTAGCAGGAGGAGGAGCATGAAGAGGAGGAGGAGGAGGAGGAGGATCATCAGGAGGTGCGCGAGCAGATGAGGCGAGTGAAGTGAGGGACGGCGAAAGCGGGAATCCCGAATTGCGAGTAAGGGAGAAACGACGAATGACCGCCACCAGGAGCACACCCCAGAGTGCAATTTGCTCACACGTCTCCCAAACAGTGAGCGTTTTGGGTTTACCTGGAGAAGTGCGCGACCGAACATTTGGTCTGCCGGGCAGCCCTCGCGGAGCTTTGTTGGGTGTATTCATCGTGGCATCATTTGGGGGATCTCGGAGTCGGTTAGGCAGATGTTGGGGCCGCGTGTGTGTCTTGGGGCCGTCTTGAGGTGTGTTTGGGCTATCTTGGACTCATTTCGTTTCCAACCATTCTTAGGTGTTGGGTCCTCGTTTTGAATCCGCAACGCCCCTCGTCACCTCCTCCCGCTGCCCCTCCTCCTCGCCCTGCCTTTGCCCTCCGCATGTGCCTTCGCGGCCTTATGGGGAGCTCCAGCGAAGCCCCCTGGAGGGCGGGGTCACGTGCGGTTCCTCCGACAGACTTCGGGCTCCACCGAAAGCCCTGGGGGGGAGGGGGGGGGCTAGCTTCTGTACTCCCCCCGCGTGCACTGGTATGCCCTTGTGGGCCCCATCTTTCCCCGATTCTGACCAGAGGCTACATCGCCAGCTGGTACCAGAATGCCTCGGCGCTGTACCTCATCGAGACGTGCAGCCCAGCGAGCGGCTTCGTCATGCGAAGTGGCCACATCCAGGAGACCTGCCTTCACGTACAGTGGGGGCCCATGCCAAGAAACACACTGCTTGCCTCCAAGGTGTCCTGGGTTTCTTGGGTTCTGATGGCGTTGCCACGAAAAGCGTGACGTTCCCACACCAGACATCGATGGACGTCGTGGGGTATCAGGGCTGGGTTTCTTGTGGGAGGTTTCTTGTGGACGGGCCTCCACTGTACCTCCCCCGATCCCCCAGAGAAACCCGCCCGCGGGTGAGTACCTCCTGAATGTGTTCAGAACCCGCCCGCCTCGCTCGCCAGCTTTCGACACTAGGAGGAGGAGGAGGAGAAAGAGGAGGAGGAGGAGGAGGAGGAGGAGGAGAAGGAAGAGGAGGAGGAGGAGGAGGAGGAGGAGTGAGGAAAGATCAGCAGATATCAGCGAGCGCACCAGATTGCGGCCACCGCCTCGGGAGATGAAGCGCTCGCGGGAGTGCGGCACGGCAGAGGCACTACAGGGGCGATTGCTGAACCAGAGGAAAAGTAGGTCGAGTCAATCCGATGAGCCAGAGTCGAAGCCGTCCTGTGACGGTGGCTGCTCATCGCGAGAGGACTCGGCGAAAGGTCTGGCCATGCACAGGAAAAAGTGCGCAACGCTGCCGCGCTGCTGCATCGGCACGCGGCGTGCAGCTAAAAGCAACTAAGTGCCTTGCAAATACGTGCAAATAGCTGGCGGGTTTGCTTGTTCAGCCGGAACAAAGCAAGACGCAGAAGCAGCCGGGCTCGGGGCAACCCCGGCAAAGCCGACAGAGCAAGGGAAGAGGTAGACGACAGAGTCGTTGCAAAGTACCCCAACGGACCTGCTCCACCAGTGGCCTTGCAGCTGGCGGCGGTGGGGGACACAATCCTCAGGCCGACGTTCCCCCCAGGCGTGCCACAGACACGTCAGTCCACCAGGGACGGCCGACAAGCCATCCCCACCAAGACGGACAGGCAAGCAGCATGACCAGGGGGCGGCCAGAGAAAAAAGAAGGACGATCAGTCAGAATCATCGGAGAGATCTGTCGACAAGGAATGTGAAGACTGGGCGTCCAACCCATGCCAGAAAACCACCGCGTCGCGCGTTGGCGCCGCATGGCCAGCAGGACTAGGGACTAGGGGAGGCGGAAGGCCTTGGTACTGCCACCTGGTCCTGCATGTTGGGGAGAGCGTCCGTCGGGCCAACATCAGCTCGACGGACTGGCTGTCCTGCAAGGGCGCGTTTCTCCCCTGGACAAAATAAGCTGGAGGAAACATGAGGCCTTGCCACAACCTCCTCCTCGTGAGAAACAAACGATCAGGGAAGCGGCTCTCGAGCCGACCTCGGCTGCCTCAGGTCGGCTTGGGGCGCAGGCCGCACGAGAGGGCTGGCTCGGGGCAGCCCCGGCACGGCCCCCTCCCTGCGCCGTCAAAGGGTCAGGCGGGTCCGAGGTGCGCGGAACCTCGGCCCCAGGCGGCGTCTGCCGGGATAACGATTCGGATGTATCGGCCGACGCGCCAGCGCGGGCCTCGGCAGCCACAGCAGCGTGGCGGCCAGCCCTCACGTACGAGGTTCGCCCATCGCGTCCAGCACGAGCCCGTGTGAACTCGCCGCGATTGATCTTCGCGAGATTATCGCGGCCGTTCCTGGTGATGCCAGTACATGCGGCCGCGAGGCGACGAGGGTATTGAGTGGCGGTCTTTCCACACACACACACACACTTTCAGCAGAAATCAGCAGGTTCTTCTGTATATAATGCAAGTTGTCAGACGCATGGAGCACACGTCCGCTCACGGTGAGGTCGGCAGGGACGGTCGCATCAATGGCAGTGGGCGCGGGGGCGCGCGTCCGCACGGGGTGTCGCGCGCCATTAGGATGCGGCTCCGTACGGCCGAGTCCCCGCAAACAGTGTCCTAAACTTGCTGCCACAAAGTTCGTACTCATGGTGGCTGTCCTGGAGGGCCCGCTGGAGCCTGCACGGCCACTTTGCCTTGGCCGTCGAGGCCCGCTCGCACGACCAGGAGTCCGCCGCCGTGGAATTAGCCAAACCCTTTCGGGCTCCTGGACGAATCAACGCGCATTGGGTGTCATGCAGGTCGGTGAGCGGGGCCTCACTCACCAGAGCTCTCTGCCACGGAATGCGCGCGGCCTCGCCAGCCCCGGCGTCGGCGCACGCGTTGCCAGTCATGAGAAAGGCCTTGCGGGGGTCGCGGGCGGGCCCCGCAATGTCTTCACTGTGCGAGGGGGCCCACTCCACCTCGACCTCGCCTGCACCTCTAAACTGAAGAGCACGGGCGATTCGCTGCCAAATGTCAGCGCTGGCACCGCCGCGTGGCACCTCCTGCCTGCCACCCTGCCATCCCGAGAGCAACTGGAGGTGGTCGGCGAAGAACAGGGCGCGGCCAACTGAATTTTCCAACATCATAAGCTCCGAGCTTCGCTCGAGGCACGGTCTGAAGTGGGCCCTTTAGGCCCGACAGGAGGCCGCCCCAGGGTCGCCATCGGCCCTGATGGCGCGTCAAAGCAATGGCGGCCGACACCGCGCGGCGACGGCGCGGGTCTGCATTGAACGGCCCGCCAGACCCGTCGTCGAAGATCGTGAGAAGGCCGTCGTTGCCCTTGCACTCCTCCCAGTCTTGCCCAACCCAGCGTCGCCCGCCGCGCCCCCCCCCCCCCCAGGTCAGAAAGGACAGGGCGCGCGTCGGCGCGAGCGGGGGCGCCTCGAAGCCAGCGGGGGGCAGCGGCTGAC